TTTTTTTTTTTGGGCATTTCAATTTCAGAAAAATATTAATTCGAAATTGAGATTGAAATATGTAAATCATAGATCCATTTAGTCTGGTGATCCCGTGATTTTATGTGGATTTACTTCATTTCTTTTCATCAGTGTTCTAAACAGTGTAAAGTGTGGCTAGGTGTTGGGTCAGGCTTCATTACTTATTATTATTATTATTATTATTATTATTATTATTATTATTATTATTATTATTATTATTATTATTATTATTATTATTATTATTATTATTATTATTATTGTTTTAAATGCTTAATAATTCTAAAAATCATTTAATAATTAAACATGTCAAACTAAAATTATAAAATACTATATTTACCTAATAATTTTTACAATAAGTCAATTATACAATTTTCGAATTTTTGAAATGTAAAAGCTACCCTATTTTTTGTAGTTTCAACTTTTAACTAAACAAGTCTAACTTAACATATTTATAGGAACTTCATTCATATTTTTGAAGTTTTCAACAAAATGATAAGCTTCAAAATCATAATTATATAATACAAATAGCACCATAGCTTAAATTTATCTAAATCTTTATTGGATAAAGTCATTTTTTACTTTTGTACTGATAAAGTTATTTAAAAATTTGAAACTAAAATCAAATAAAAGCTTAAAAAAAAAAAAAGATTAAAGCCAAATAAAGTGTTTTTAAAAAAAGGATGAAAAATAAAAATAAAAATAAAACCCACGCCTAGGCACGCATTAAGGTGACCTCTTAATTCACATTTATTGCCAAGACAAAGCTTTTTGCCTGTGCTTAGACGCACTTTTTAGAACATTGCTTTTCATTGCTATGCTTTTTGTTTTGATGATTATTTGCTTTTCTTGTTACTAACCCTTCAACCGACTTTTGTTTGTTTGCACGTCTTAAAATGTTTCTTTGATGCAAAAATTCTTGTTTAGGTAATATGAACGGTTCTACATTTAATAGACTCTGCAAGAGAAATTTATGTTTGTGGTAGTGCTTTCCTGTTTTCCTGATTCCTACTGAAAAGTACTGAGTCTTAGGATTAGTTACTTTAGAAAAGGACAAGGGAAACATAAATTATTTATAATTCTTAAGCTGGTATACTGACATTCTTTGGTAATATAGAGTTTTCTGTAATGCGGGCTTCATTATCTGTCCTGGAATTGTAGGGAATTAAATCCAGGCAGATACAGAAACACGCATGAACAATTTATTTGTTTTCTTAGTGACAATGAAGGATGATTGTTTACTTTTTGCTATATTGGAACTATCATTTTTTCATTCTGCGTGCCATTGGATGGAGAGTTGAAATTCAAAAATCTGTTGTTTTCAATTTAATAATTTTTAACAATTTATGATTATATATCCTCGTGTTGCGAGAAAGTGTTTACTTAGTTTTTTTTTTACTGAATGGTTAACAATTTAAATAAGTTGTCTCTATGACTTTAACACGTGTATGTGAAAATCAATTACTAAGGTGCCGTTGCTGAGATGGGTCGTGTGCGCACTAAGACAGTGAAGAAGTCCTCCCGACAGGTGATCGAGAGATATTATTCTAAAATGACTTTGGATTTCCACACAAACAAAAAGGTCTTGGAGGAGGTTGCCATTATTCCTTCCAAGCGTCTGAGGAACAAGATTGCTGGCTTCTCTACCCACCTGATGAAGCGGATCCAGAAGGGTCCCGTTCGTGGCATCTCACTAAAGCTGCAGGAGGAGGAACGTGAGAGGCGCATGGACTTTGTGCCTGATGAGTCTGCCATTAAGACTGATGTCATCGAAGTTGACCAGGAGACTCATGACATGCTTACTGCACTAGGCATGGCTGACCTTCCTGGAGTTATCAAGCAGACTATTGAACCACAGTCACTGCCTACTGCCCCTGCTTATGGCCGAGGTGGTGTTGGTGGTGGTGGAAGGAGGTACTGAGTTTGTTTGATAAGCATCCATGCTTTTACGAGAGCAATACTGTTTTTACACCAGTTTCATCTACGTATGGTAGTTCTTACTATTTTAAGCTTTTAAGACTGTTTTTATTCATGCCCTAAAGATCAATGCAAACAAAACATTTGAGGTATTCATCTGAATTGTTGTTATTCTGAGGATGTATCTATTTCCCTCTGCATTTTATCGCCGTGGATTTCTCTTTATTTCGTGCTAATACATGCTACAGATGTGTAAATAGTCGTGATTGCTTTGGAAGTTAATGTCTGGTTTTGTTGATTCATGTGATCAAGATGATATTTTACACATTGTTTGATCAATGAGCTTAAATACGGATGAATCCTACTAGCAAGTTGAATGCATGAAGGCTTACAAAATGCATGATTTTGCTCGACGAATTTGCAAAGTTGTCCATTTAGAATAGAAGTAAAAGAAGCAAAAATAATACTAAACTGTTATAAAATGAGAGGAAAAGAGAATAGAGAAAATTCAAAGAGAATAGAGAAAATTCAATAAACCTTGTGTTTTTTATTGAAAACTAAAGTTTTATATTTATAGGTAAGAATCAGGGATACAATAGTAATAATTTATAAGGATACAAGGGTACAAATGTCATTTACCAATAAACTTTAATGGACTTTTCATTTACAACACTCCACCTTGAATGACATATTACAAAATATCTGTCTCGTTAAAATTTTGTTTGATAAAAATTCAGTGGGAAAAAAATCAAATGAAGGAAAAAGAGTACAGTTATTTTGAAGTATTAAAATTAATGTTGCCTTATTAAAATCTTGCTAGGAAAACCCAATGGAACAAAACCTAAGCGAAGGAAAAAGAGTACAGCTACTACCCCTTGATATTGATCACTGAAAATTTTTGAGTCGACGCATTTCAATCTCATGAACTAATTTCTTGAATGTAGATGTTGGCAGCGCTTTTGTGAATAGATCAGCCAATTGTCACTTGAGCGAATTTGTTGAATATTAATGTCACCATTCTTCTGAAATTCATGTGTATGAAAGAATTTTGGAGAAATATGTTCCGTCCTGTCGCCTTTGATATAGTCTCCCTTGAGTTGTGCGATACAAGCTGCATTATTTTCAAACAAAATTGTTGGATTATCTTTTGTTGAAATCGATCCACATGATGATTGGATATGATGGGTCATATTCCTTAATCATACACATTCTCGCCCTGCTTCATGGATTGCAATAATCTCAGAATGATTTAAGGATATTGCTGTCAATGATTGATTCATAGATTTCCATGATATAGCTGTTCCTCCACGTGTAAACACATATCCTGTTTGTGATTTAACTTTATGTGGATCGGAGAGATAACCTGCATCTGCATATCCCACTAAAGCAGATCCTGACTTTTGAGAATAAAACAGTCTCATATCAATA